GAGCCGGTGAGATTTGAACAGCCGAACTGCAGAACTGCAGTCAGCTGAAGTAGCCTGCAGTGCTGCACTCTAACCACTGCGCCACCTCAGCTCTCAGAAGGTATAGCCTTCTGATTTCAGAAGGCTATACATTATGCGGGATTGGATATACACCGAAGGCAAGTTGTTCAATATTGTGCATCAATGTAAAGGAATTCTGGTGCTTTAGGGCAGTGTTTCTCAACCTTGGCAACTTGAAGATGCCCGGACTTCAACTCCCAGAATTCCCCAGCCAGCGAATGCTCAAAAGGCGAATGCTGACTGGGGAATTCTGGGAGTTGAAGTCCAGACATCTTCAAGTTGCCAAGGTTGAGAAACACTGCTTTAGGGAAGAGAATGTGAAGGATTCAAATAAAGGCCACACAAATTATCGTTGTTATTTATGGTGATAACCATGTTGACTGCATGGCACCTCCAAATTAGAAGAACTATATGCTAGGGAACAGTTACTGGGACAATTATTGCCTGCTTATGGGTTTGAGGCATTTTAGTGCCAAATAGGATGCTGGAATAGGTTAAATCTTTCATCTTGTTCGTCTGTTCTTTCAACTTTCCATTGTTGTCTTCAACAGGAATAAAAAACCTCATTGTTTGGGGGAACATCAGTGGCAATAGCTTCATTGATCTGAGTAAAACAGAGCTATATAGATATGACAGTGCCATCTGGGGCCCACCGAGTTATTTTCGTCCTTTGTTGGATGTGCTATTTGATCGGTATTCTTTCTGATTTTTTTAAAAAAATATTGGTATTATCCAGTTCTTGAAACATTATAGAAACATAGAAAATGCATAAAATGTTTGTGCCATATAAATCTGCTTCAGTCCTTAACCTATTTCACATTCCTTTAGCCTCTTTAAAAAAAAAAATTAGCCCTCTGTTGCAGTCAGAAAAGAAAAGCAGCATTTAAATGAAGGATTTGAAAAGTGAGATAATAAAGAATTATATACTATGGAACTGCGTGCCTTTGGCTGTACTAAAGTATATCTGCCTATGCACTATTGCTTTTAAGAAGTACTGTATATGTCTGAGTCATTTTGCAATTATCTTTAGATTTCCTGCATAATCAAGGAGGGTAGCAACCTAGAACTAAGGAGAAATTTGCTGACAGTTAGAATAATTAATCAGTGGAAGTTTTTAAGAAGATGTTGGATAATTATTTGTCTGAAGTGGTGTAGGGTTTCCTGCCTAGGCAGGGAGTTGGACTAGAAGACCTCCAAGGTCCCTTCCAACTCTATTCTCCTATTCATACTTGACAACTAAATTCCATTGTAAGAATAATTTCAGTTCCCTAAGGAAGCGCACATGTTCTGTAATATGTTATATAGAAAATGCAAATTTTATTAGAAATAGTTGATGTATAAATAATATTAATCTATAAATTTACATAAAAGTATGTAAACATTTTTTGATATTAGGCATCTTCCTATATCTACCAACAGAGTTCCAGAACTCTTGGTACAAATTAATTAAAGATATATTTCTAACCCTATATGTAAAGCTGTATTATTAAAGAACGTCATGGCCTAAAATGTGGTATTTTCCTTTAAGATAATTAATGTTATTGTATTAAAAAGTAAATAAATGGGCTGCTCTGGTAATTAAAAGCTTGACAGAATACAGAATAACAGAGTTGGATGGGACTTTGGAGGTCTTCTAGTCCAGCCCACTGCTCAGGCAGGAAACCCTGTGACATTTCAGAAGTGGTGTCCAGCTTTAATTTACTGTTCTTTTAAAGTCCTGCTTCATTAATTTTAAGACCCATTTTGCTACCAGAATTGTTTCTGAATACTATTTCCCTGATTTTTTTTATCTGTTACAGATATCTGCACTGGGCAAATCTAAGTGGCTTATAAATATAATAAAACACATGATAATACATGTAGTTTAGTTTAGTTTATTAGTTTTGTATGCCGCCCACTCCCAAAGGACTCCGGGCGGCTTACAATAAAAAGGGAAAGGGGATAAATAAGACAATACA